ATTCTTTCCTTCTCCTTCTCTTCCTCCTCCTCTTCCTTCCTCATTCTTTCCTTCTCCTCCTCCTCCTCTTCCTTCCTCATTCTTTCCTTCTCTTCCTCCTCCTCTTCCTTCCTCATTCTTTCCTTCTCCTTCTCCTTCTCTTCCTCCTCCTCCCTCATTCTTTCCTTCTTCTTCTCCTTCTCCTTCTCTTCCTCCTCCTTCTCCTTCTCTTCTTCTTCCTCCTCCTCCTTCCTCATTCTTTCCTTCTTCTCCTCCTCCTCCTCTTCCTCCTCCTTCTCCTTCTCTTCTTCTTCCTCCTCCTCCTCCTTCCTCCTTCTTTCCTTCTTCTCCTCCTTCTCTTCTTCCTCCTCCTCCTCCCTCATTCTTTCCTTCTCCTCCTCCTTCTCCTCCCTCTCCTCCCCCTCCTCCTCCTTCCCTTTCTCCTTCCCCTCCCCCTCCCCCTTCTCCCCCTTCTCTCGACTCCCAGAATTCCCCAGCCAGTGCACATTGACTAGGGAATTCTGGGAGCTGAAATCCACAAGCCTTAAAGTTGCCAAGTTTGGAGAGCCCCGTTTTAAAGCAATATAACTAAAAGAAGAGGGAGCACCCTGCTACATTATGGGGCCTGGTTTAGCATCACCAACGAAGGAGAATTTTTGTAGCTTAGGGTTGAAATGAGGGGGTCCTTGGTGCTGTCTGAGCTTGGTGGTTTTCTTGCAGACGTTTCATGACCCAACTAGGTAACATCATCAGTGCTAGAAGGGAGTGGGGCTTGCAGGGGAGGAGGAGGAGGAGGAGGAGGAGGACTGTGGGGTCCTTGGAAAACATCTGCAAGAAAACAAGCTAGCTCGGGGGGCACCAAGGAGCCCTCATTTAGCCTTCTTTCGATTGGCGCGTTGTCCTCTGCTCCTGGCTGGACACTTCTTTAATTCCTCTTGGTGACCCTTTCAGTATTGTCTGAAGCTCAGCGTGCAAAAAGGGATCTGCCTCTTTGGTGCTGCCAAAACCCTGGAGGACGGCTCTCAATTCCACACCTGCTCTCACCCGAAAGATATCCAGAGCTCTTCGATGGCGGTGGAGTCGTTTAAAGTTCTCCCTCTTGAGTTAGGCCTTCTCAGCGTCAACCTCACGCTTCACAGTGATGCGGGAAAAGAAGTGCTCGTGAAGACCTTGAGAGTTGTGGTAAGGAGGGTGGAAGGGAGGATTTTTTCCCATGCGTCGCCTTCAATTGGAAGTTTTTAAGAAGAGACTGGACAGCCATTTGTCCGAAATGGTATAGGGTTTCCTGCCTGAGCAGGGGGTTGGACTAGATGACCTTCAAGGTCCCTTCCAACTTTACTATTATTATTATTATTATTATTATTATTATTATTATTATTATTATTATTATTATTATTATTATTAATTCTTTATTGGCCAGGTGTGATTGGACACTCAAGGAATTTGCTTCCAGTGCATAAGCTCTCGCTGTACATGCAAGTGACAAAGTAACACAACGATAAGATACCAGTAGAAGAAGCTAGCGGGAAAGATGGGAAGGATAATAGTAATAGACTCTGGAAAGAGTGCAGAAAAGAGCAACAAGGATGGTTGGTGGGGCTGAAGGCTAACACATACGAAGAACCATTGCTAGAATTGGGTATGTCTAGTCTAGTGAAAAGAAGGACGACATGATAGCAGTCTTCCAATATTTGAGGGGCTGCCACAAAGAAGAGGGGGGTCAACCTATTTTTCCAAAGCACAAGAAGGCAAGACAAGAAAGCAAGGGATGGAAACTGAACAAAGAGAAAAGCAACCTAGAACTAAGGAGAAACTTCCCGAGAATAAGAACAATCAACCGGGGGAACCACCTGCCTTCAAAAGTTGAGGGTGCCCCAATCCTGGAGGCTTTCAAGAAAAGATTGGACAACCATTTGTCTGAAATGGTATAGGGTTAGGGTTAGGGTCAGGTTTAGGGATCCTCAAGGTTGACTCAGCCTTCCCTCCTCCCGAGGTCCGTAAAATGAGGACCCAGATTGTTGCGGGGGCAAGATGCTGACTCTGTAAACTGCACAGAGAGGTCTGTAAAGCACCATGAAGCGGTATATAAGTCTTAAGTGCTATTGCTGTATCTATATCTATCTGTCACTATCTATCTATCTATCTATCTATCTATCTATCTATCTATCTATCTATCTATCTATCTATCTATCTATCTATCTATCTGTTTCAGTTTCAGTTTCAGTTTCAGTTTATTGTATTTATATCCCGCCCTTCTCCTGGTGGACTCTATCTATCTATCTATCTATCTATCTATCTATCTATCTATCTATCTATCTATCTATCTATCTATCTATCTATCTATCTATCTATCTATCTATCTCTATATGCTATATCTATCTATCCATCCATCCTTCCGAGGTGGGTAGAACGAGGACCCAGATTTCTGGGGGGGGGGGCAAGATGCTGACTCTGTAAACCGCTTAGAGAGGGCTGTAAAGCAGTGTGAAGCGGTATATAAGTCTAAGGGCTGTTGCAATTGCTGTTGACCAGTTCTTTGGTTTTAGCCCGAAGGCGTTCGAAGGGAGAGTTATGACGGTGGCACGCTGGATCCCCAAGGGGTTTATGGTAGGTCCGTTCAATTTATTATAGAAAAAAAGGAAAGAGATAGACATTTCTCTTTGCCGCGTTTTTATTCAGGCGCAAAAGAGTTTGGAGAACGTTGCGTTCTTCACCCCCCAATTCAACCACTTCAGCTGCCTTTTACCCCCCACGGAAGGGGGAAAGGATTGGAGGGTTAATTTATTTTGGTAACTTATTTGTGCAACGTAGTTTGAAGCCCACGATGCACTCACTGGCTTTGGTGTGGATTGTCCATGGCAGGTACAGTCGTGAGACAGAAAGAATTCGCCCACAAGGTGCCGCGCTACATCGTCCCCAAGACGCAACTCGAAAAAACCCTCAGTATAAAAGGTAAAAGGGAAGGAGAGAAGGAAGGTGTGCTGGTTTTCATTTGCTTGTGGGACTGGTTTCCCCCCCCCTTCTCGATTTTGAACTGAATCGCTGAATTTTTCAGTGGTGGGGGGAGAAAGGAAGGATTGGGAGGGAGGAAGACAGGAAGGGAGGAAGAAAGGAAGGGAGGAAGAAAGGGAGGGAGGGAGGGAGGAAGGG